GTGTTTTGAGTCAGGAGCTTATCAACTTTGGAAGTAGTCTTTTTATAATCATTGCTTAAGAAATTTAATAAACATTGAAGTTGAATGTGCTTTTACCTACGTCTCATCCATAAGGCACTGTCAAGTTTTTTTTTTTTTTTATATGATTAAACTACTCTCTAGAATTATTTTCTGCCAGATATGATTCTTGCAGCGTCATGGCTTATGCATTTTAGACATTATTTTATAATTGTACTTGTTTTAGATCGGTAGCATACTATTTATCAAACAAATAAAGTTTGATTCAAAGCTGCCACTTTCACAGATATTTGTTTCATCAAATCCTCGTGGAGCTGAATCACTTCCCCCCGGAATTGTTGTATCAGAATCTGATTTTTATTTACGCAGATTATGGGGTGAACCTAGTGAGGTATGTTGATAAGCAGTTATTTATGATGCAAGAATTTATCTGTAGCTTGTAGTTGTTAAGTCTCATAGTTTTACAATTTACAAAAATGAAATTTGATCAAACCCCAAAGTTCATCTATTGTTGTGGTGGTGGGTGTATAATTGTAAAACAGAGAGCGACATGTAACAATATCTGTTTTATTCTTCAATATAAGTTTCACATGATATAAGAGGCAAAATAAAAACTATTATATTGGCTAGAAACGTGCACTTTTATCAATTGTGTATTTATGCAGCTTTATTCATGCATGAAAACATTGCATGCTAGTGTGTCAGCAGGTTTGCATGTTGATAAGCCAGTGTGGATAGGGAAGACATGTTACGTGTCTATTTCTTTGATATATTTCTTGCAAATCTTCCAATGAAACCATGAATGGTGCAGGATCTGAAGAAAAAGCCAAAGTATTTAGTTACATTCACTGTTGGTTATGAACAGAGGCATAATATCAATGCTGCAGTGGAAAAGGTTATAGAGATTTACTACTTTCAAATATTCATATAAACGTTTTTATTTGTATATTTACCATTTCATATTTTTTCCAAATTGCTGACTATCAAATTGTTCTGTAGTTTTCTGATGATTTTGCAATTTTGCTCTTTCATTATGATGGTTGGACTAGTAAATGGGATCAATTTGAGTGGTCAAAGAATGCAATCCATGTTAGCGCAAGGAAACAAACTAAATGGTATAATTAGAGACCTTATCATTCTTTGGAGTGTATCTTGTTGCTTTACTCTTTTTCTCTTATACAATTTTCTCATACTTGATGTTGTACAGGTGGTATGCTAAAAGATTTTTGCACCCTGATATAGTGGCAGCTTATGAGTATATTTTTATTTGGGATGAAGATCTTGGAGTAGAGCACTTCAATGCAGACAGGTATTATTTTCATCTGTCTAGTTTGCTCAAATTTTACATTAATGCAGTTTTTAGTTTGATTAACTAACTGTATTCTATTCACCTATTCACTAGGTATATTCGTTTAGTGAAAAAATATGGTTTGGAGATCTCTCAACCGGGTCTAGAGCCCAATAAGGGATTGACATGGGAGATGACAAAAAGGAGGGGTGACAAAGAAGTTCACATGTATTCCTTTGCTGTTCTTTTCTTTCTAAATTTACTACCTTAGTCATTGATCTAATAAGGCTCTCTTTGTCTTGACACGTTTTTGTATGTGTTGCCTAGGGTTACAGAAGAGAAACCAGGCTGGTGTAGTGATCCACATTTGCCTCCTTGTGCTGCGTATGCCCTTTCTTCCACCCTGCTTCAAAGTTGAATGTTGTATTGCAATCATATACCTAGTTTTTCTTTCCTTTGTCTACTTAGTTAATTTTATTATATCTTATGTTATTTTAGATTTGTGGAAATTATGGCACCTGTCTTTTCTCGTGAAGCTTGGCGTTGTGTGTGGCACATGATTCAGGTATATTTTATTTTCACATTTATTGGTTATAGTAACATTGCTGGATGAACAGGTAAATCTTCTCTTGCACGATAGATGCATAATCTTAGTAATTATAGTGATGGCTTTCCAATTGTCTTCCGTAGAATGATCTAGTGCATGGATGGGGGCTGGACTTTGCTCTCAGAAGATGTGTAGAGGTCGGTAATTCTATCTATTTAATTTTAACCCTCCCTATTGAAGAGTGTTTGAATCCTTTTTGTTAGCCTTGTTGGAAGATGCGTATGCTTTAGTTGGTCAAGTATGCATTCAGGTGCCAAACTGAAAAGAAAGCTATGTGAATACATCATACAATTAAAAAATCTATTTAAAGCATAAACTATTTTTTGCCTTTAGAACTTATTTAACACAGTGATCCTGGTTTTGTAAGCTTACTGTGTTTGTGTTTCTGTTCATATTAATGAATTTTGGCTTATCTTTTTTCTTAAGTTACTATATGGATTAATTTATCAGGACTATGGGCAATTGTAGCTCTTGAAATTGAAATGCATTTCATTATATTTCTGTTCTTGAATTAATTGAAGAGGCTTCCTCAGTACCACCGTTTGTTTTGTCCTAGCTTATTTTTTGAGTGTGAAGCCCGTCTAGTTTATACTGAATAGAAAATATGGGGCTACAATCTCTCTGCCCAGATATAATATTTTTAGAACAAGCTATTTGATTTACTTGGCTTTAATTTGAATCCTTTTTGCAGCCAGCACACGAAAAAATTGGAGTAATTGATTCAGAATGGATTGTTCATCAAGGAATTCCTTCTCTCGGGAGGCAGGTTAGCTCACGAGCTTACAATAGATTCAGGGCCACTTATTTTCTTTGATTATATAATTTCAATTGAGTTTGTTTTTATAAATGCATCTACATACTGCGAGTATGTGTAGGCTGCAAATGCTTTGCTTGGCCAGGCAGAAAATACAAATATACTTATTTTAATAACAAAATACGTGTGAAAAACTATACTAACCTCGTATAGTTTGGTGTTTTGTGTCATAGAAGTTGATTTGGATAAGGTTTCAATAACGAGGAGTTCCTATTGGAAAGAGATTAAACTAAGATAAAAGGTTTTTTTCTTTTATTTTAATTTTTTTTCGGAGGAGAGGGGAGAAGATGTGTTATAATTTTGAAGGGGCTTATGTAAAATTAAAAAATAACTGAAGTTGAAAATTTGAAATTCCGAGAAATAGAGTATTTCTACACTTGATGCTGACAATTCTTCTGAATCTGATGGCCAGTATTTTATCACAAGTTTTTGTGTTTTACATCTTGTTATGTTGATTATAGTGCCGGGTTTGGGTAGTACGTACAAAATTTTAGGTTCAAAATTTTTTGTTGCCATTGTACGCTTTTAAAACATGGGGAGATGTATTCAGGATAAACAGTGTAGCCATGAATTTTCCTTAATATCCTCTGCACGATTCCTTTTGGGGGGAGGGGTGGTAGAGAGATTCCTAGAAGTTGTCCCGAAATCTTATGTTGGGAATATTACATTCCCATGTTTGGTATGGAATTTTGGTAAAGGGTTCTCAGAATTTTAACATGTTTTGAAATTTGTTTTAACCGTGTTTCCAACAAAGCATTCTCATGAGAGGTATGGGAAGCCAAGATTTCATGAAAGGGCGAAAGTTTAGAGCATACTCATGAAACATTGCCAAAGATTCCCAATAATCTTTGAGAATATGAACTACATTTATAACATTCACAAAAATTGATATTTTCAAGTAACACAATTCTTAGGAAACATAATTTCTTAAAATGAAAATGATTATGCATATTAAATGCTCTCTTAAAACATCCAATTGGTATCCATGGAACCCCAATGCTTCCATCAAGCAGTTACATTTGCAAGTTTTCTTTCTTTCTTGGTGAGGAGTATTACATATACAAGGCTTTATTGTGTTAAACTTTCTGTCACTTTTCTCAGAAAGAAAAGGAATAATGAGCCTTGACGATATAGTATGGTGTTGTTGCCTTGTGACTTGGGAAGTCCGTAGTTCAAATTCTGGAAACAAGCTCTCCGAATTGTGGGAGCCTCTTGGCATTGAATTGTACTAACGTTAGAGAGAATAATAGGAAAATTTTTCCATTTATTATTACTTTTTACTTTTATACACATGATGGCATTTTCTTTCATTCTTGTTTTCTTTCTGCTTTTCACTTTTTATTTTCGAGAGGGGGGCGGGGGTTGTGGTTGCAATTGTTTCATAATTATTAAAGGTAAACGAAAAGATGAAGGTAAAAGACGTAGGGACATTTTCTAGAGTGATGATTATCTTTTTCCATAATTATTCTATTGTTGCCAAGTCCTTCTACTCCCGATGAATTAACATATGGTCTTTTACTTGTGCAATAAATTTTGTATTAATTTATAAATTTAACTTTTGGGATATTATGCATAATTTTCAGGGAGAGGCTGACAAAGGAAAAAACCCTGGGGATTTGGTACGTATAGTTTCTGTCTAAGAATGTTAGTGAATATATATACTCTATTTTTTGCTTAACATTGTTGGTTCCTCCTTCAAGTTGTTTGAGCGCTACATATGCACTCACCTATTGTAGCAAATGTAATAACAGTTATATTAGTTATATACTTATACTAAGATCCAACATTTTGCTCCCTACTGCAATAACCTTTTTCTTGAATACTCTTTCAGGTCCGAGCCAGATGCAAAAGTGAATGGGCCCAGTTTCAAGTTCGCCTAACCAATTCTGATAAGGCCTATCTTGAAGGACTTAAACGTAATGGGAAGAATTGATATATGGATCCATCTTCCTGTTGTACATTTTTTATGTACACTCTAAATGGTAGTATTTGTTTTGTTTTGTATTGTTTTCTCCCTCAGGTGCGTGCGTATTTTTCTGATCCATCTTTTTTGAGGAATTAATTTGTACCAGATGTAATTCAATCAGTTTTATGTTATTGATTAACTTTCTAATAGCCGTTAGATCGAAATCTGTTGGCTGTACATATATAATTGTATATTATTCTAAATGTTCCTTAATATGAACGTAATGTTTTCTAGTATTACAAAAAAAAAANTTTTCTTTCTAAATTTACTACCTTAGTCATTGATCTAATAAGGCTCTCTTTGTCTTGACACGTTTTTGTATGTGTTGCCTAGGGTTACAGAAGAGAAACCAGGCTGGTGTAGTGATCCACATTTGCCTCCTTGTGCTGCGTATGCCCTTTCTTCCACCCTGCTTCAAAGTTGAATGTTGTATTGCAATCATATACCTAGTTTTTCTTTCCTTTGTCTACTTAGTTAATTTTATTATATCTTATGTTATTTTAGATTTGTGGAAATTATGGCACCTGTCTTTTCTCGTGAAGCTTGGCGTTGTGTGTGGCACATGATTCAGGTATATTTTATTTTCACATTTATTGGTTATAGTAACATTGCTGGATGAACAGGTAAATCTTCTCTTGCACGATAGATGCATAATCTTAGTAATTATAGTGATGGCTTTCCAATTGTCTTCCGTAGAATGATCTAGTGCATGGATGGGGGCTGGACTTTGCTCTCAGAAGATGTGTAGAGGTCGGTAATTCTATCTATTTAATTTTAACCCTCCCTATTGAAGAGTGTTTGAATCCTTTTTGTTAGCCTTGTTGGAAGATGCGTATGCTTTAGTTGGTCAAGTATGCATTCAGGTGCCAAACTGAAAAGAAAGCTATGTGAATACATCATACAATTAAAAAATCTATTTAAAGCATAAACTATTTTTTGCCTTTAGAACTTATTTAACACAGTGATCCTGGTTTTGTAAGCTTACTGTGTTTGTGTTTCTGTTCATATTAATGAATTTTGGCTTATCTTTTTTCTTAAGTTACTATATGGATTAATTTATCAGGACTATGGGCAATTGTAGCTCTTGAAATTGAAATGCATTTCATTATATTTCTGTTCTTGAATTAATTGAAGAGGCTTCCTCAGTACCACCGTTTGTTTTGTCCTAGCTTATTTTTTGAGTGTGAAGCCCGTCTAGTTTATACTGAATAGAAAATATGGGGCTACAATCTCTCTGCCCAGATATAATATTTTTAGAACAAGCTATTTGATTTACTTGGCTTTAATTTGAATCCTTTTTGCAGCCAGCACACGAAAAAATTGGAGTAATTGATTCAGAATGGATTGTTCATCAAGGAATTCCTTCTCTCGGGAGGCAGGTTAGCTCACGAGCTTACAATAGATTCAGGGCCACTTATTTTCTTTGATTATATAATTTCAATTGAGTTTGTTTTTATAAATGCATCTACATACTGCGAGTATGTGTAGGCTGCAAATGCTTTGCTTGGCCAGGCAGAAAATACAAATATACTTATTTTAATAACAAAATACGTGTGAAAAACTATACTAACCTCGTATAGTTTGGTGTTTTGTGTCATAGAAGTTGATTTGGATAAGGTTTCAATAACGAGGAGTTCCTATTGGAAAGAGATTAAACTAAGATAAAAGGTTTTTTTATTTTATTTTAATTTTTTTTCGGAGGAGAGGGGAGAAGATGTGTTATAATTTTGAAGGGGCTTATGTAAAATTAAAAAATAACTGAAGTTGAAAATTTGAAATTCCGAGAAATAGAGTATTTCTACACTTGATGCTGACAATTCTTCTGAATCTGATGGCCAGTATTTTATCACAAGTTTTTGTGTTTTACATCTTGTTATGTTGATTATAGTGCCGGGTTTGGGTAGTACGTACAAAATTTTAGGTTCAAAATTTTTTGTTGCCATTGTACGCTTTTAAAACATGGGGAGATGTATTCAGGATAAACAGTGTAGCCATGAATTTTCCTTAATATCCTCTGCACGATTCCTTTTAGGGGGAGGGGTGGTAGAGAGATTCCTAGAAGTTGTCCCGAAATCTTATGTTGGGAATATTACATTCCCATGTTTGGTATGGAATTTTGGTAAAGGGTTCTCAGAATTTTAACATGTTTTGAAATTTGTTTTAACCGTGTTTCCAACAAAGCATTCTCATGAGAGGTATGGGAAGCCAAGATTTCATGAAAGGGCGAAAGTTTAGAGCATACTCATGAAACATTGCCAAAGATTCCCAATAATCTTTGAGAATATGAACTACATTTATAACATTCACAAAAATTGATATTTTCAAGTAACACAATTCTTAGGAAACATAATTTCTTAAAATGAAAATGATTATGCATATTAAATGCTCTCTTAAAACATCCAATTGGTATCCATGGAACCCCAATGCTTCCATCAAGCAGTTACATTTGCAAGTTTTCTTTCTTTCTTGGTGAGGAGTATTACATATACAAGGCTTTATTGTGTTAAACTTTCTGTCACTTTTCTCAGAAAGAAAAGGAATAATGAGCCTTGACGATATAGTATGGTGTTGTTGCCTTGTGACTTGGGAAGTCCGTAGTTCAAATTCTGGAAACAAGCTCTCCGAATTGTGGGAGCCTCTTGGCATTGAATTGTACTAACGTTAGAGAGAATAATAGGAATTTTTTTTTCCATTTATTATTACTTTTTACTTTTATACACATGATGGCATTTTCTTTCATTCTTGTTTTCTTTCTGCTTTTCACTTTTTATTTTCGAGAGGGGGGAGGGGGTTGTGGTTGCAATTGTTTCATAATTATTAAAGGTAAACGAAAAGATGAAGGTAAAAGACGTAGGGACATTTTCTAGAGTGATGATTATCTTTTTCCATAATTATTCTATTGTTGCCAAGTCCTTCTACTCCCGATGAATTAACATATGGTCTTTTACTTGTGCAATAAATTTTGTATTAATTTATAAATTTAACTTTTGGGATATTATGCATAATTTTCAGGGAGAGGCTGACAAAGGAAAAAACCCTGGGGATTTGGTACGTATAGTTTCTGTCTAAGAATGTTAGTGAATATATATACTCTATTTTTTGCTTAACATTGTTGGTTCCTCCTTCAAGTTGTTTGAGCGCTACATATGCACTCACCTATTGTAGCAAATGTAATAACAGTTATAT